TTTTTTTCTTCTTTGCAAACCCTGAAGCTTATAAAGCTTCAATCTACTCTTCCGTAACCAAATGTTTAGTACCTACCGGTTGGGTTAATTAGAGTGCATTCTTTACAGCTCTGATAATAATCACCACTACACCACCATAGCAGTGGCTGCAGCCTGTTTTTTCATTTGTTATTTCTTTTTAACAATAAGCATTTACATAGTCACACTGTTTAAACCACTGGTTCTTTTGGGTTCAGCCAAGGGTTCATGCAATCATACCTGGAGATATCAAGTTCCAGAAGACACGAGCATCACCTGCACTCGTGACAATTCCCAAAATAAATGCAGCACAGCATCTTGGATATACCTCAAAAATAGGTTACTTTTTTTTTTTTTAAGAGAAAGAGAGAATATTCATAGGAAAAAAAAAAAGAGAAGAGAGAGAGAAGATCGCTGAATGTCCGGCATTGATTTAGAAACAGGCTTTGCCAGGCAGGGTGAAAGGGAGCCTTCCCCGATCCATTCCGTGTGTGGTTATTAATATTGATAACAGGGCTCTGGCTCCCAAGAGAAGAGTGGTGAATGATTTAGGACACAAACACATTTCTGTAAATAAAGTTTTTCCAATTCAGATGCTTTTTTAGAAAGTGGGAAAAAAAAAATCTGCTTCTCAAATGTCAAGTACTTAAAAGACTAAAAATAGATCACCAGAATAAATGAATTAACCCAGAAGACAGGACTGATGCTCTGCAGGCATCAGGGATTAAATAAATTCACTAAATTCAAAGTGGTATTCCAGATAAGAGCTCTTTGTGCTGCAGCATGTACAGCTTATTGATTATAGGATTGAGGTGCAGTGCACTCTTGTAAAATGTACTCTGGTTGATATGACTTAATCCTGCGGTAATGTACAGCCCAGTGCACAAAGCATGGAGCTAGCTTATATTTTCTTATTTTAATTTTGTTTGTGTCTTAATTTGCCACACCGCATCTGTGCCCTTTCCCACCAGCACTTCTCCGGGCAGTATTTGCTTAGGATGAGTGACGCGAGACATTTCAGAAAGCGCTGACTCAGCAGGGTGGGCGCTGGGCTGCCCAACAGAAGCCTGCAGGACACTAGCCGTGGGAATCTTCCTTGGTTATCTTCCATAGGGATGTAAAGCCTGAGCACTTCACTTTTCTGTTGCGTTGCGTGGCCTGGCTGCAAGGATGAGTTGCCCGGTTGATGTAGGGAGCCTCAGGGAGCCGCTCAGATGGAGATGCTTGTTCTGCAGACCTCCACGTTTTGTTATGTGAGTCCACCAAGGCAGTAGAAGTGTGTCTAACCAAGAAGAAAACACTACCTGTCCACACAAGATGGAGTCTTCTGGACAAAAAGAAAAAGTAGAAAGTTTTGTAAATCCTGTTGGTCAAAGAAAATGATCCCGGAGGGGCTTTTATACACCTAGCTGGAATGAATTTTGGTTAAGTTCCAATTAACCCGTTTTCCATCGTAGAGGGTGCTTTCACCCTCCTGGTCAGATGTTGAACTGCCAAGGTCACTTCATGCTGGTACAGAAGGACATTTCTTTCCTCCTTTGGAAGCTCTCCTGCCTCTGGTGCTCAGCCCAGCTCTCCTCTGAAGAGCCAGCAGACCTCTCTGAGCGTGGCCTTTTACCATAGAGTTTACCAAGATCAAGAAAAACCTCCAGGCCTCTGGGGGTGTGAGAAAGCAGCTGGGCATGGCAGTGATGCGCTCACGGCGTGCTGGCCTCCTGGTCCATCTCTCCTCGGGGTTGCTGCTCATCACCCAGCACCTTCCCAGCCTCGGGGCATCCTAGTTTTCTGCATCACTGGTTAAAAAGTTGGTCTGGCCAAGGGGAAAAACTTTTGTCATTAATTTTTGTCTCCTTAGTATGAGGGAACAGCTGAATGAAGGAGCTGCAGGGGCTTGTTTTTTGGGTAACCTCCCCCAATGCCCATATCTCCCACAGGTTTGGCAAATCTCCCAATATCTTACTTTACCAAAATCAAGCCTCTTCATCTCAAGACATACAGCCTCTACTACGTAACACTGCCTCCTGAGCATGATCCACAAGGCCTGTATTTTAACACCCAAGATTCATTAATATTTCCTGCAGAGTGTTCAGTAAGTAGCAAATAAAGCAGGAAGTGTCCCAGATGTTGGAAAGAAAAAATGGAATTATTCATTGCTTACTAACGTCAAATGCTAATGTGAGAAAAGCATCCTTGAAGAAATCCTTGACTAAAATTCATCAGTGATGTGAAATCACTGTTTTAATTATGCATTTTTGAATGTATTTATTAGTCCCAGTTCTGATCTGACTTACAGATGTTTAACAGTGATAAGGGTCTACTGCAGTCTTTGGAATTACTCATGATTTATAATGACAAAACTTGGATCAGAATTAGGTCCTTGTCACTACTCTATAATATCCTTTCATCAAACTTCTTCACATTCAACAGATGAAAGAGACAGTGGTTTCCGCAATTTCAAACCCTACCACTGATTCTATTAGCTTGTTTTTTGAAATTTCCCCTCTAGAAATGATGATTCTCACACAAAATTTTGTCTGCTTGAGTTATATTTGCCGCAAGAGACTTGAAAGCTAAGGAATTAGACTCTTTAGTCCGCCAAAACGATGTGTTTGGTTAACACTTGTGCTGGCCACAAATGTTGCATTTTAATGGAGGAGGTAATTAATTTAGTTATGCTAGTCTATAATCTCATTCTCTGTATCCTTATTGTTGTGACTACCAGAGTATGCTCAATACCAGAGGGGTTTTAAAAAAAAAAAACAACCCTCCATTCAAGAATGATTCAAAGTCGTGTGTTTTTCAAAAGAATGATGGAGTTTTAAACTATTGCTTGTTCTAGAGCTGATCCAGAATGAGCAAGTCTCCAGGGATGGTTTACTCCCTAAGGCATGAATGCATGATTAAGCTAAATGTATTCCATAAATGCCTTGATGACATTAAAGTAAATTTTTTAAAGAACAGATGGAGAAAGTTAATAAATATTTCATTCTATAATATAAAACTCACTTCTATATTCACAAATTCAGGGATCCTCAGCTTCACAGATATCAATAAGTCTGATGGATTTCTTGCTGCATTCTCATTCTTCTGCCCTGGTGTCTCTTATGGGATCATCATTTCTGCATGCTTGGATTGTTTTATGGGATCAGTGAAAGGCAAGTGACTGTAAATCTTGACCTCTTCTGCTCCTGGATTATATACTTTTATTCTTTGTGACCATAAGTGTTCATCTCTACACTGAATAGATAATTAAATGACAAAAATTATTCAAAGGGAATTTATAGTGAGAAATTATCACTTGAAGAACTGATGGGGCACAGGCATAACCCAAGGAGATAGCGTGAAAAAAACAGTTTAGAATGGCCAAATAAAATACCGAAATATCTGTGTATTTGTAAATGTCATGAAACATCTATTCACTGGGAAAAAACATGATTTTTACCTGTATGTACCAATTCTATTCAAACAAAATTTCTATTAAGGGAAAACAGTGTGAATTTTGCTTAAGAACTGTAGACCAAGCCTGTTATTCATATGAAAGAACTAATCTTTACATGTGGGAATTACAATTTCTCACTCTATGTATGCCATGAATCTTGTAAAAGAATAATTAGAACTTGCTCCAAAAGGAAAGAAATGCCAGACTTGAATAATATTTTAGGAAGAGCATTAACAAACATTTTTACACTGCCAACAATCTTCCCTGCTTTCTAGAAGAGATTTACATTACATTATTAATTAACTCTACTGAGTCAATAGTATGACATAAAGCTTGGGAGATATATGTTTAGCACAAACGATGACATTCGTGAGAAAAGCGTGCATTTTTAGGAAGTTTGATTTAAAATTTATGCAAATGACTTCAGCAAGCAAGGACCCCACAAACTACTTCAAAGCATCAAGATCCAGCCCGAAAAACATGACAAGATGAAATCTTTGTCATTTCTCAAGTGTCTTTACAAACCTGCGCATATACAGTATAAATTACTTCACCTCCTGTACCTCGATAGTTTGGTATAAAATTAGCATGCATTACTCTTAGTGAGACCGCTGTAGTCTGTCAGACAACCTACATCGGAGCAATTGCAAGGATTTAGAAGTATCTAGATGGTATATAATTTGTCTTTTTTGGAGCTGACTCTTGTGCTACGTCTGTAGAATACAACAAGGTCCCATGGTCTACCATAGCAAACACAAATAATAAAAAATAATAGTGCTATTGTACCGACTCCCTTTCCCCCAGCTCTGACCATCTTTCAGTTTTTGGGCTAAGAATCCCCACAACGCTGCATCCAGGGAAAATATTAAATGCAGAGTATTGCGGTGCGGTAAAGAAATACTAATTAATTCATCTTACGTTTCATGCCACAGAAACTGGTTTATTCACTTATTGAAAGTTAGGTTAGGTCTAGGTACATTTGCATCTTCAGAATCAGGGCTTTTAACGAAAAAAAAAGTTTCTCATGTTTCCCGACATCCCATTAAAATGGTTGTCCTTTGACGTCAATTAGAGCCAGCCAAAAAAAAAAATCATCCTTAATTGCTTTTCAGAAATAGACATTATAGCGTACACCGTCGCAGCCAGATTCGATTACCTTTTACAAGAAACAAGGATGCTGGGAATGCCATAAAACTCCAGCTCTGCTGAGTATGGGTGCGGGGCCCGCTGACAGCCGGGGGAGCGGCTTTTCACAGCGAAGGCTCTTCCTTGGGCTGCAGAGAAAACTGATGCAAAACACATAGACACGTCTAAACTTCTCCAAAGTGTAAAAATGCTGAAGCTGGATGTTCAGCTGGGGCCGTTTTGGCCTGACAGTGGTTGGATGCTCAGCGCTCCATCCCTGCCTCCATGTAAGAGTGAGCGTAATCATGCACCTACGCTGACAATTATAGCTACAAAAACGACCTAGTCCTCAAAACTTGTGTATGTTTCATGACAAGGAGCATCACCGACTTTCTCAAAGGCCTTCTCCGAATATGTCTTACTCCAAGGACTTCATAATGTCTCTGCCGACCAGGTAGAAGAGGAGTCCGGATAGTAAAACCAGGGGCACCCCCGCCGCGGCGAACATGAATGACCACCCGTAATACACGTGCACGGGTACGTCGTCCATGCACTTCTCACTTCTCTCCAGAAGGATGTACTTCTGAAAATCAGCGACGAACTCCTTCCACATCACAAAGAGAAATATGAGCAGGAGAAATAAGCCTCCTGGAAAGAGAGACAAGGATGAGTTATTCTCTGCTTACAACCAGCATATGAAACACAGAAATAAAATTGAGAAAAGATCGCAACACATTTCCATTTATTCTTGCAGGTCCTTTGCATCAAGGCTTAGTTGCAGAATTATTATTCATGACATTGCTCTGCAGGTTCCTGTGAAAGCCAAGCCCACTCCCCGTGGGAGAGACGCACGCCACCGCGACCAGCTCCTGCCCAGCCGCACTCACACCCCGTGCTTTAGCCGCCGGCGCTGCCGAGGGCTCCATTACAGCTCGATATGGCCATGGAGAAACCATCGTGAACTCAGCTGATGTTCACAGCAGGGATCTGCATGAGGCTAACTCTGCTCTCCTGTCTTAAAGGTGGGTTGTTCTGCCTTTTTTATTTTTAATTTGTCTGAGATGAGTGAGAAGGCAAGACTAAGACTTACTTTTTCCTTTTTTCATCTGCCCTTCCTTCAAGTAGTATCAGATCCAATTTCCACCAGAAATGCAGAGATACAGGGATCAGTCCTGCTGATGGCAAGCGTTATCGAACCTGCTACCCCCAGCACCGGCGCAAGCAGAGCCCACGCAGAAGCTGAGCATCTGCAGCCGAGCATCTGCAGCTCCTGGCAGTTCCCCTTCGCGTCTCGTGTTACCCTTCCTTAAACTGAGCTTTGCAACCAAGTATTAAAACACATGGCAAGGAGTATAGATGACCCTGCTTTGCAGAGAAATAACACATAATAGAGTGGAAAAGGCATGTAGCCATGAGATATTAATCTCAGACGGGCTACTAAATAACAGAATAATTAAAAGAATAATAAACAGCTTATACCATGAGGCTAGAAAGTCTTTTCATTGGCAAGTGAGACCTCCTTTGCCCTCCCCTGGAGCAGGACGGGAGGAGGGCTGAGGCCACACTCAAGCCTGAGCAGTGAGGGCAAGGTCAGCATCTCCATTAGAGAGGATCCGCTCTCCTCCGAGAGGAGGTGGGGGATGCCTGTGACCCAAATAGCAGATCTCCCGTGAGACCTCGCGATCTCATATTTCCAGATGCGTACCCGTCGAAGGTCAGCGTTTGCAGGAAGAGCTCGGTCACATCTGAAAAGCACGTGGCGAACAGGCACCTCCCGGACCTGGCACAGCCCCCGGCGGGTTTGGGGGCTTCGGTGCCTTAACAGGAACCTCCTTTCCCCGTAATTCAAAGTGATGGTGGTCGAAGGCTGCAGGTCTAGCTCCCCCGTATGAAGCAGATGACAAAAACTAGAGTGGCCCCAATATTATTTACTGTGTCACATTAAAGAATATATACAGTGCATTTTAAAGTCAACATAGATTAAAACTAAACAGCGATGGTGTGATGACAGATCTGAAAGCACTTCAGTAATATCTGATCTTGCTACTTCACAGCTAGAAGCTTGCTATATTTAAATGGTGCTGTATAACATATAGATATACGCACATACACACAAATATATGAAAGAAATACATCACAGATTATAATATTTTTATAGCAGAAGTGAACAGTTCGAAATTAATTTAGTTGACAAGTTACCACACAGTTCTTTGGATGTGTTGTGCCTTCTGCTGGATTTAATTTCTCCCCTTGCTATTTTTAAATCAAAGGTAGCTTGTACTATATTTAATTATTCTTCCTGGCAGCTTACACACTACAGAATCCAACTCCCATTCTAAGCAAAGGAAGCGGATAAACCTTGACGTTGATATATCTGCTTAGCGATGGTGGTTACCAAAACCTCGGTCAGAGAAACCACGTCAGCGTTTAGCTGTGTTTCTGCTTATGATGGGTATAATCACATCTGCTGCTACAAACCTCCTCTTCACATCTTGTAGCCAAAAATGAGACTTGTGTGAAGGTATAGAGCGTTCAAAGTTCTCACTACGTGTTATATAGAAGTTGAAGCTACCCATCCTAAGCTGTCACGTCTATTCAACTGCCTCCTATACCCTAAGACTGCAAATTGAATCTTAATAATTGGTGTACCCATATGAATATACTTTACACCACCACACGCTGTTATTTCAAGCCGTTCTCCCTCACATGGAAAAGTCCTTATGTGTGCTGGAGAGGCAGGCTAGGAGTTAAATAGCAGCTGTTGTAACATTTGCATGTTCATTGAGATTTTGATACCACTTGAAATTAAGTGCACAAATAAATATTTTACACTTAATATGATAGTTGTATGCTTAAAATACCAATTATTCTACTATAAGAAAACGATTGCATGTTTAAATAGTCACATGTCCTTTACAAAATACAATATATTGATAAGAAGGCAATTAAGTCTTTATTACTGATGTAATTTAAAATTAAATTAATTAGATAGCAACTGAACCTTGAAAAGTGCTCTTTTAAAGATCAATTTCTATTTCATTAACTTATAATACCTACCGTAAGAGACGCAAATAAAACCGTAGCCCCGGCGGGACAGAGGACAAGGGTACGGTAGCGTACTTTTGAATTCTCCTACTTTTCTTTAAATAACCAGGGGTTTTGCCTTGAATTGTCCCAGGACAATTTAGATGATCTAAGCCTCATTTACTGAAGAAATCAGATTAAAACCTACCAGTTCTTACTGAGGAGGGTGCGGGGAAGCCCCATGCGTGGGTGGCACCGTCCCTGAGCTCACCAGGAGCTAAGGATGGGCAATCGGTCCCTCCCCTCGCGCCAGGAGAAGCGCCAGGTCTCGGCATTGAAGGATTTATTATTAAACAGGTACTGGAGGTGATGGCACGGCCACGGCATCTAAATTAAGAACATTTTCACACTTTGGGAAAATGACAAGAAAATGTAAAGTAAGCAGCATTCTTCCCTGGACTAATTACAGCTGAGTGGTGAGGAGTCCCTGGGATTTACACTATCTCCTCGGCGAGAAAAGAAAATCAAAAGGGCAGGTGCAGCCGAAGAAGGACGGTGGAAGCGCAGAAAGGGCAGCTCACTGAAAACTGTTCAGTAAAAAATGCTTACTTGGAACAATCACAAGTATTCATAAAACTGCCTAAAAATTTGTCACGCTTTTAGACATTAGTAGACTCTTCATAATGAGAACATCAGGATGTTTCGCGCCCATATTACCAAAGTAAGCATTTGGCATTTTTGTTTTAAAAGGATATTTTATTTTGGATTTTTCATCTTTTGAACAGGTCTCACCTTACCACCTCCTTTTTGGGGCTTTTAGTCTTGGCCGCAGCAGAAAGACATCTTCATGTCCTGCCAGCCCCAAATGGCTTTTTATGTACAGAGACAGATTTCTTCCTGCCTTGGGTGGCCAAATGGAAAACTGGAAAAAAATCTAGTTTTCTGCCCAAGAAATGAGCCCGGCGTCGGCACACGCACCTGAGACGCAGGACATGCCTTGGGTTTGGGTAAGTGTAAGTGAAGACCTCCTCAAACCAGACCATCCCCACGCTCCTCTCAGCATCCCTGTGGTTTCTACCACTGGAAAACTAGCCAAGTGATCTCTCTCTTTCTCTCCCTTTCCCACTTTGCTTCTGTTCATTAGGATGGTATGGAAAAAAATTAACTGCGAAACTTCATCTCGTAGCTGATGAGGTTAACGGCATCTTCTGGGGAGGGGCTAATTGCAAGAAAATTGAAGTGGGGTATTAAATCTTTCTCCTTCGTACGCTGCTAACTGCAGGACGACGAAGCCCGGCGCTCCATCTCCCCCTCTCGGGAGAGCTGCACCTTCTCTGGGAGTAAATTGGAGTCGGGCTTTTTCTTTCTCTCACTTTATATCCTTGTGACACCTTTATAGCTGCTAATTATAGGGACAGGTGAGTGAACTCAATCTTTAACTCTTATTCGGTGGAAGCTACTGAACTTTCGTGTAATCTGCTAATTACGAGAAAAATGAACTTTGACTTGTTCGCCTTTCTCACTAGTTGCCTCTTAGGGATGTTAACAAGGAGGAAATGGAGGGGTGATCTTCAGCTGCCCTTCCATAACGGTGAGTCTTTACTGCACGTGGGGAGCCCGAGATTGCCAAAATGGAGGTGCTTGATTTGGGAAGAGGAATCCGAGCACAAAATTCAGCGCTTTAACTCATAGGACTGGCAAAGCGGCCTTCTTTTTCATGCAGTCGGCTCACGCTGAAGAACAGGTTGGTCTGAGCACACGCTGTGCTCCTCTCGCAGGACCACGACACGGCTCTGAAAGCACAGGAGAGGCTTTGTGCTGCCTTTGCCTGCTGGAAACGGCCCACGGCCACAGCGATCCCGCGGCTGCGGGACGGTGCGAGCACGCTCGTGCGTGCCACACGAGTGGGGATGCTGGAGAAACAGCACCAGGACCACAGCGGCTAGAAGAAGTGTAGACTGTACACGGTTCGTCGTGTATTTGTGCTTTCCAGTATAAGACAAGCTGATAACAAGCTCCTCTTTAGGTTGCTTAACAGGACCTGGGACACGCATCCTTACTGCTTGCTTTGAAAACTCACCGTGCGCTCACGCTTTGCCTGTGCGTTCCCCCCGGAGCAGCCTCCCCCCCGGAGCCAGCCACCAGGTAGAGCTCAGGTCATTTTTTCACTTAAACCTACAGCTATGGAGCTGGTCCGGACGTATTAGGGCAGCACGGCAAGATCAGTAATTGCCCTAGGTCTGGATGAAGTGTGTGCTTACTTCCAAGCTTGGTCTCTAAAATGCCCAAAGGAAACGAAAACCGAGGCGCGCAAGCACAGAAAACCGAGGAGCGCAAGCAAAGTTGTCTCAGCAGTTCAAACAGTTTCCAGAAGCTGCAGTGCAGCGTTCACCCAGCCCTCTCGGTGACATTGTAGTGATAATTAATCATATTGTCATCTGACTATTGAAACAAGGGGACAATTAGTCACCAGGCAGTATCCGCCTCCCCCTCGCAAGCACTGAAGCTAAGTCGGAGGTGGCAAATGTTGGAAGGAAAGCAGCACGCCGGCTATTTGCTCATGCAATTCGGGTGCTTTGGGAGCAGGCTGGCAAGGATAACTGCTCAGCTGGGGCGGTAGATGTGCAAATACAAGCAGCAGCAAATGTCAGATGGGCTCCGGCTGTATTTCCCGAGTCGCCCAGCAGAGGAAATCAAGGGGGATGGCTCCGGTCCTTTGAAAGGGCTCTCAGAAATGCCACCCACCGAGCACTACATTTGTTATGGTAGCTGGCAGACAGTCAGATTTGTCCTCTTGAAAGTACAGTAAATAAAAGGCATCTCGGAGAGGAAACCCAAAGGGATCTAATTGAGCGATAACAATCTTCACCCTTTGGCGTTGAATTCCCCCCGGCGACAGAAGGGCACACATAACTCCTCGAGATCATGTCAGGCTGGTTATCCATAAATGCGCTTGGGAGTGCATTTGCACCAATTATATTCTTTAGAGCCTTTCGCTGGTAAATGTTGCATCATTTTGCAATGATTAACCGCGGCTGTGATTTTATGACCTCAGCGTGGGCTGCTACCAAAAGGGGCAGAGGGAGTTTATGGACAGAATAAAGTTGCATATAAAGGATGCCCTGAGAGGCCGGGCATCTTGCAGCCGTGGTGCCCCATCTCACCATCCGACTGCCAGACCACGTTCCCACTCTACAAATTGCCAGCATTTTCACACTTCCTCAAGGAGACATCATTTCTGCAAGGGAGGTTAATTAACACTGACCCGCAGGCCACGATTAGAAGACAAGACGCGCTTTCTGCTGCGTCGTCTCTCCACATCCCGCTATCCGAAGGAAAGGGACGGCTAGGGAGTTGAAGCTGTCTTAAATCTATTGTTCCAACTGTTAGCGCAATTATGCAAAATATTTTTACAAGGGATAGGGAAAAAATAACCATGGAGGGATGCATCCCGAATTTGGGATACCCCCTAAAAAAAGAAAGCATCAGCTGAAACTCTAAGCAAACTTTGTTGAAAATGCTGAAATACAATTGCATTCTCCTACCCATCATTTAGAATGAAAATGGAGCAGGAAGACTCTTCCAGATGAACTCGTTCCTCCTAATGACAGTTAATAACAATGATTGCTGTTCAGATTGAAACTACATTAACACAAACTTCAATTTAAACAGCAGCATCTTTGTCTGATGCCAAGAGGTTTATGTGATGCATAATCAGCTCTTCTAAAAAGTGTCACATTCTATGCCCCAGCCTTTTAATCAAGAAGTAGTCAAATAAAGTGCAAAAACAATGACAAAAATGGAATACAGTGATTCAGTATTACTTGACATCCTTTTCTGTGTGATATTCTACTTATCTGGCCAGCATCAGAAGGTGACCGATGTCAGTTTTTCCGTTTGGTCTGAAAGTTGAGTTGAAGCAGTAGGGCTTTAACTGAGGTAGCCCGAGTGTCACATCTGAGAGGATTCAAGTATTCAGCCCTAGTCTCACACGAAGAGATGACTTCAACGCACACACATGTCAAGCGGCCAGCACTACTCAGTAGGGGGCATTGGAACCTGATGGAGATCTGATAGCAAGATGTCTTGCATTCCCAAATGAAATCCGTGTGTTTATAACAACATGAAATTTGCCTTCAGAAAAATTAAGCCCAACCAAGCATTTATTAAACTATCTAAAAGAGAGATAAGCAGATACCCACGGGCTTGCTGCCCTCACTTCAATAACTGAAGACCTGGAGGCAAACAGAAAATCGGACAAAATGCAAAGCGAATCAGTAGAGGCAGGTAGGGCCACATTGATTTAGTGCCTTCCAGATTTTTTAGACAAATAGATAGATGTCATCTAGCTTGGTTTTAACAAGCAGCTGAGCTGGTGTCACATGGTTAATTATTGGTACATCTGGAGGAGACAGAAATTAGGAAAGGAGCTATAAAATGGATAGGGAGCTAAATAATGGGGGAAAAGAGTAAAAGGTAATGACGGTAGGGCATGGTGAGATTGGAAGGAGTTTAGGTGGAGTTCCTCCAGGCTCGGTGTTGGGACCTCTCTTGTTAAATCTTTTCATTGATGTTTTTGGCCCCAAAACACTTGAGCACACTCAAAGCCCAAACTGGGAGCAAAGACACTGACTCGCGTTTGATTCATGCCATGTATGAGGAAGCAGGACCTGGTGCAGGATCCGTAATTAAACACCGTTTTTTCAGAGAAAGGCCCGACTTCATAATGAAGTTCTTCACTTGGCATGGCTCAGCTGAGCTCCAGCCTTTAGCTGCTTGAGTCGCAAAAAAGCTTTTTTCTGAGTTTGAGTCACTGTTATAAATCAAGTATTTCTGCTAGTTAAGCCAGTTATTCCTTCTCAAATACAAAAAAAAGGAAAAAGCCCAAGTGATAATTCAGTGGAATCATTTGTAATGGCAGTGGGAATAATGAATAAATGCCTATTTTTAATTCATTTTCCTGCTGTGCCACCGCTTTATCTTTTCAGGTTTTATTAAGCCAGCCCTCCCATTTTGAATCGCCGGGTATGCCTTTCATCGCTCAGTGGGTTTCCAGCTCTGCCAGATGTTAACAGCAGAGACAGCAGAGACCCAAATGCAAAGACTGACTTAGGGGAACAGAGCGTGGCTGATTGCTGCCCAGGGTCAACGCTGCTACGGACTTTAAAATAAAAGGCTCTGCTCCTCTGCGTTGCATAGAAGAGTAGAAAAAAAGAAAAAGGTCTTTTTCCCAAACCCCAGCCTCCTTAGGACTAAGAACTATCTTGCTAAAACTTGAGTGAGCATAGAGGTTTATTTCCAGTGGGGGAAGAGGGAAATCATTTACTCCAAGTCAGTGCAGCCCCCACCAGAGCCCCCCCCTCCTCCAGCAGCGCCTCATTCCCGGCTGCCCCCCCCTTCCCCTGCGCGCACGAAGCGGAGCAGGGCCCCTGCATTCCTTCCCCGGCCAAATCACC